ATTTCTTATTTGAAATCTCTTAATCACAATTGTTGCCATATTTTTAAAAAGTACCCTGAAATTACTGCAGAATGTTATTTCACAAATTATATTTCAGATAAACCTCTGTTTTGAACGAAATTTTCTCGGTAATGTACTGTAAAAGTCACATTATAAGTTTTAGGCTGATTGAATTATTCAATTACAGTCTGTATTAAGTTAGTACTGATGACAGATATTTATGTGCATTCTTGGAATATCAAAATTTGTATCTAGTTCGTTTATTGTCTAGACTCTATTAGACTAGCTTATGAAAGTATAGACATACTAAGGAAGTTCGAACCGAAAAAAATATGTACCAGTTTACTTGTACAATGGATTAACCACTGAGTAGTGACCATTGTCATGTTTGTTTAGTCCTCCAATGTTGGTTGATTAAGTTGTTATATGGCCACTAGTCTTAATGACTCAACATCTCATGCATTATATTAACTTGCTATGTGGTTGATGGTAGTCGGCAGGAAACTATGGAGCCGGGATGTAGAACCCCAGTTTTACAGAGAGTCAATATCTTCGTGAACAGTGATAACGTCTCAAACTATGAGATTGAGTGATGCGAGTTCAAATGGCATCATTTCACTCAGGATTTAAAATATCCATTGGTGACAAATACCAACTACCAAGATACTTAAGTCTAGAGTTTATTACCAGCTACTTCTTACCACTTAACATAAATTTACTTTAAAAAGATATTTTAATGACTTGAATCGAATAAATGAAGAATAATATCAAATGTTGATTTAGTCAGTAATCATTTTCACAGTGTTTTTGTTTTACTTGTTTCCATCCATCACTTCTCATTAATTATGTTTATAGTACACTAATAGAGATTAAACATTAAATTCAAAAACAAAGCAACAAACAGATTTAATCTGTAAAGTGAACCAATTCTATTAGTTGATGGCAATTCAGAAAAAAATGTCACTACTAATTAGTAATACCGAATAGAATGTTTTCATTACAATGTTTTATGAATTTTGAACAATAGGAATACTGAAGTTAGCTAAAGAAAATTGTCACATCCATTTCAGCTTTTATTATTTATATAGTTGAGATCATGAATCAGTTTAAGCTAGACCATCATGGAAAACCTGGAAGCACTGGACGGCCGTTTCGTCCTACTATAGGACTCTTCAGTAGTGCTCATCCACGATCCCACATTCGCCAGATTCGAACCCAGGAACTACCATTCTCGCGCCAGAGCACTTAACCGATAGACCACTGAGCCAGAACCCAACGGTGTTAATGTCTAACTTCAACTAATCCACAAAATTGAGCAACCATTCACCAATGTCATCAATGAGCTGATATCTCCCAACAGATCTGGTTGAACTCCACTGGTTACTGCTTTTTATTATTTGTGTTCGATATTTGAGAAATCTGATGAAAATAGGTGAAATTTTGTTTTTCATAGTTGAAAGCATGAGTTTAACTTTAAATGACTCATGCTTTCATCTATGAATATACTGAAATCTCCACAAAAAAAACCCTTCTGAAATTTTGTTGATTGTGTATACTTCTTTGAACTATCTGATTGTAAGAAATGTGGTCGATTTTTCTTTGAGTAAAAAGTATAATGACCAATGTGTTTTACACACACACACATACACCATTCTACTTCATTATTCAATATTTGAATATTTTCTCCTTCCTATATTTACTAACATTTCGTTAACTCAATATAGTCCGTCAATGAACTGGGAATGAGTAGAATGAAGTAATAAAATAAGCATAATCATAAATAATGATTGAGTTTGTCAGTTAACTGAAGAATTTCTCATTCTACACCCATAACGTAATAATAATCATAATAAAGTGCTTACTCTACATCAACTCTTCTAGTTTTCAATCATTTACATATAGAATAATAATAAGGAAAGGTGGAGCGAGATTGATCATGAATAATAAATAATACAATGAGTTTGAATAGTAAAAAATACATAAACACACTTCATTGTTTGGCGCTTTATGACATACATATATACGTATACCTGTAGTAACTATTTTGAAGCATCTTCTTTTAAATATGTTGAACATTGTACAAAAAATTCGTTCAGTTAAATGTTCAATTTTTAAAAAAGAAAAAAAAACTGATATTTAATACTCTTTCTATTATTCTAAACGAATGTCATTTTCTTGAATCCAATTAAATAAATACGATTTCGCCTACCACCTAGAAATGAGTATTTCAAATTTTTATTGTCTTTAATTTCATAATTTTAAGTGAAATTGAATGATAACTTGTTGACATTCAATTCTGTTTACTTAGTAACTTACATATTACACTGATTCATAGACTCATTTAAACACATTTAAAGTTTGACTATAATAAGAATAGATGGATAGTGGCTAGCAGTGGGATCTGGGACGCGCGTTTCGTCCTATTTGGGACTCGTCAGCTGAATGTACTTGCATCTCAGAGTTGATGTTCACTCTGGGACTTGAACACAGTACCTTTTGCTTCAAATGTCATCGTGTTATCCACTCGGCCACTGAGTCCAGAGTGAACATCAAACTGTGAGATGCAGGTACATCCAGTTGACGAGTCCCAAATAGGACGAAACGCGCTTCCTGGATCCCACTGCTAGCCACTATCCATCTTTGCTTACAATGCTTGTGATATAAGTCTATATCGAGGCAATATGCACAGTATGCACATATGTCAATTAGAGACTGATCAGTTGCAGACCTAAACTTCAATGGGAAGATTCAAACAAACAATACTAAGTGAATATAATAAGGATATTTACTAAATAAATGGTAAGTTGATAAATTCACGTCGGTGGAGTATTAAAAGAAAAGAAGGATAGAAATGGGAAACATGTTATTTTTGTGTTTATGATTACTTTCATAGGAAACAAACAAAATTGGGAAACAAAATAGGTCTTACATTTTAATTTTGTGAATAGCTTTCATAATAGTAATGATAATGATAATGAAAGTTTACTTCAATCAATATCGTGACTTGTTTTCCCGTTAAGTTGCCATTATGAAGTGAATATTGAAAATGTTCAGGAATATACTACTGATGGTAATGAATAGTAGATAACAGTTACTAGCATTGATTAATAGTATGTTTGATTAGCTGATTTCATTGACATAATAATAATAATAATAATAATAATAATAATAATAATAATAATAATCAACCATTTGTGATAGGCTATTCCTGTAGAAGTTACATCATCATTATTATCGCTGTCATTGTAATAATTTGATCTAAATTTATTGAATGAAATTTTGCACTTATAATCTCTTGTTATCCACAAGTCGTATCATCTTCAGAAATAAGAGGAAGTATAATAAGAGAAAAGGTGTTTTAATCAAAATAAGGGAGAAGCGGTTCTTAAATTTGTAGATTGTTTCGATTGCCGATCGCTCTGAGGTTGGGTACTGTCGAAAACCAGGGAACATTAGACATCCGTTCCATCCTTACATGGAACAACTCACAAGGGAGGATCAACAATCCTATCTGGGTTCGAACCCAGGACCTTCATATTTCGCTGAAAGCGTTAAATCCTTAGAACCACAGAGTCGACATCTAATGGTACTGTTCCGACATCTGTAAATTTGTGACATAGCTTGATGGTTATCCAATCCTATTATTGACAATTTTTCACTTCCGATATACCTAAACTCCTCATCAGGACGAATACTACTTAAATATTAAAGCGATTTCCATAAAACTCTTTCAAATATATCAACAGATACTTCACTTAATAACTAATTTACATGAGCTATTGTTATAGGAATTGTTGTCTGCTGTGATGTACAATTCAAAGAGAATGCGGCTAGTGAAATATTAACTCAGAGATTACACAGAACAATCCAAAAATCTTTTAACTCCGAAAAAATACAATTAGTGTTTTCTACACGTTTAATGGTGACATTGAAGTTAAAAGATGAATTACCTTGAATGACCACCTCATTTTGTATTTATCAGTTTGACTGCTCTTGTGGAGTAATTTATATTGGTCTAAGTTCTAGGAATTTACATTTTCGTGCTCGCGAATACCTCCCAGCGTGGCTAGGCAAAAGTCTGATGAAGAAAGTGAACAGCTCGATATTGGCCCATTTAGTACAAACTGGTCATAGTGCCAGCATAAACCAATCCGTTTCAATAACTTATAGGGTCAGTATTTTTTTACCAAAGCTTGTCAGACTTAAGGCCCTTCAAACGGCTGAATCAGTAGCCTTCTGGATGAAGAAACCGGAGCTATGTGTACAAAAGAAATATCTTCAAACGCTTCTCTTCCCCTGGCTAACATCAAGGCCAATTAATCAATATAAATCTTGGCTATTGAATGACCTAATTTGACTATTGTACTTACAACATTTCGTTGTCAAATGAAATTGCCTCCATCATCTTTATCAGAAGGGGTTTTGTGGTGACTTTATATTTTCATAGTTGAAAGCGTCAGTCAATTGAAGTAATACCACCATGGAAAACCTGGAAGCACTGGACGGCCGTTTCGTTCTATTATGTGACTCCTCAGCAGTGCGGGATCGTGGATGCACAGTGCTGAAGAGTCACATAATAGAACGAAATGGCCGTCCAGTGCTTCCAGGTTTTCCATCATCTTTATTCACAAATCTTTGTATCATTATTGTTATTATTATTACTTTTTGTTAAACATCATTATTAAATCTCCCCAATACATGATTTATGTGCTTCTCATTCATCTCACACAATATAGTCTTCCACTAAACATTTGATCGAATTGTAATTGCACTATTATTTCTCTCACCCTATCTGACCCATATTTATTCTGATCATGGATCTTAACTTTTCACTGAACATATAAGCTGATTCAAATTAGCATTCTATATGAGTCATATCAACATTAACAATGGGATTTTTCTTATTCAAATTTTTATGTTTGCTTATGATTTGCATCTACGTAACTATGACAAATAATACTTATCGTGTTTCTTTTTCTCTATTCTTACTTTTATTACAGCTACCACAATCTTGACATGTAAGTCACTTTAGATTTTAATCAGTTTTATTTTCTTTTATGTCTTTATCATATTCCCAGGTTATATTCATTAAACAGATTTATCTCAGCTGAAGTATCATTGAATATTAGGAGGCAGTGGACGATTGTTTCGTCCTGGTATGAGACTCTTAATCAGTAAACACTCACAATTCCTCCAATGATTTAATCTCAGACCTGGTACTTTAAGTGAGATTAATCTATACCTAATATAACCCAAAAATTCAACCAATCTTCACAAAACTTCTCTATTCACATTCTATCACCGTTTAAATATAGTTAGTCTTTTGTTTACCTTCTAAAATAGTAAATTGATTCAGAGTTTTATATTCATAAAATATCCAAGGTTTGACAATACTGCATGATTGTCTGCTGAAGCCTTGCTAGGCGAAGCAGATGTGAGCTTGTGATCTGTGTTAAAGGCTACTTGAATCGTATAATTTAAATTAAATTATTTGATGAATACACGCATTGTTTCTACAGGTAATCGTTGTAGCTTAGTTTCTCACAGTTGTTTTTCCAAAAAAATCTAAATTTACATAATTTATTGTAGTTCACATATATTAGTGTGTTGATTAATATTTATATAGAAATGTATTTCTATCACCTCTGTTTACTTAAGGTACCTGTCAATTTAAACGACTAGCGACAACGTGATATTATCATATTTGTGACGTTTACATTTAATCACAGATAACAATTTTATGTATTATTAACAATTGATTGATCGCTGAAAAGTGACCAATGTTATTTCTGTCTAGTTCTTTAGTGCTGGTGGGATTCAATCAATCAATTTGCGATCTATTCCACCAGTCTGAGTAAATTGGCATCGCGTGTACTATTTTTAGATATTAGATGGTTAGAGGTATTCGGACAGAAACTCTTCTTGGTTCTGGTTTCGTTGGTAAGGGATACCTGCAATCTTGAAGGATCTAATACTCCCTCTGGTGCGCGATTTCTAGTCACTCAGGCTAGTGGCTATACTGCTAAATGCTCAATTGAATTCTATCGACACTGAAGGACTAGACAAGTAATTACATCAGTCATTACTCAGTGATCAAGCAATGGTAACTATTTCACTTCTGTATTGGATCATTTGCTGCCTGAATGACTCAGGGGTAGGATTTCAAATTGTGGAGCTGAATTGTGCAGATTCAAGTTCCTCAGAGAGCATCAGTTCCATCAAGATTGCAAGCATCCCTTGCCCACGAGTTCCATCTAACACAAAACCAGAGTTTCATGTTAACTACCTCTAAGCACCTAAGATTGAGTATTATCCTCGTTTGATGGTCAATTTTAAAGGAGTCAGTTCAGGATGAAGCGGGTTGATTCATTATTAGTGGTGGAGTAGGTCAATTATTAGTTTAGCTATAATACAAAATTTAAAAAAAGCGTTTTGTAATATACGTCGTATAGTTTATGATTTGTTTTAAAATACAGATACTACAATTTAGCTCAATTAATATCAAATTTTCACCTACCAACTTTTAACTTCATCATTTTAAAAAGCCAACTGACAAAGTCTGTTCATTTTTACACACCGATTGCAATTACAAATCAGAACATGTTTTTTTATGCTAATGCCAAGTAATAAGAAGCAATATTTTATTCCATCAAAATAAATATCTTTCAACAAAGTATGTCGGTAGTCTGAATATTGGTCTGATGAAAGTATGTTATCAGTATGAGGATTTGTGGAGATTGTAGTCTTTTCACAGTTGTAATCACGAGTCGATCTAAGCTAGACCACTATTGAGAACCCGGATGAACTGTATGACCCTTTCGTCGTAATATGGGACTCCTCATCAGTGCACATCCATGATCCCGCACACGGGATTCGAACCCAGGACTTCCGGTTTCGTGTACGAAAACTTCACTTCCAGAACACTGATGGTCTGGCTTTGACCGACTCATGATTTCAACTATGAAAATATATTTCAAAATTTATCATCAGTCAAATTTCGAACCAACTTAAAATTTATGCTATTGAGTGATTTTATCACCATCCGTACTTTTGTCAGTCTGAGTTATTTTTGCACAACAATACTATTATGACTTGATATCGGGATTTAGTTTGGGCTTACAGTAATTTTCTAATTACAAACAGCTGAGTTTTCTTTCGATACGAATCGGAAATTATGCGAACTCAATGGTATATGGTACTATTATGTACAACTCTTCAATCATTATTACAAAAAAGACTTGATATCCTAACGAACCCGAGTAGTTGAAGTTGAATTAGAACAACTCTGTATACGGCAACATACAAAATGACGTTAGGACTCATCAGCAAATTAAAAGTGGCAACGACCAATCAGATGGCAACAATAGTCATTGAGAAAATATGGATTGGGAAAATATTAGTGTAGTGTTATCCTTACTAGATATAAGTATCCTTTATTAACAAAAGTACTCTTAGCCAATACTGAATATTCAATCTTCGCTACAAATCAATTCAAACGAGAAATAATAAAATAAGTTGGCTAGTTACGTTTATTCTGATAAAGTCAAATGAGATTGATTAAAATAATCTTCGATACAAACATTTAAATAAGGTAGCAATTTCATATAACAGAAACATATTTTGTCTTAGTTTCTTTTCCGCAACACATTCCATACAAACAAGGGTAATACTGAGGAAGCTCTGTGCCAACATATGTCGATTATCAACAGTTGTGAAGAGACAGGAACTTCACTATGGTTTACATATATAAACACTATATCTATTGTAAATGTAAATTCACACACACACTACATTTGGTGTTTTAATTCATTTTTTAAAATTGGATCATTCAAATTATTAGCTTTGTACTATTTCACTTTCTTCTCTTAAAAAAAAACAACAGCAAACAGTCAAGTGTTGTATGAGCTGAAACTTTTTCTATATTATCTGTGTAAATTGATATGATCTACATGTATCCATTTGTAGTTGTCTTTCAAATGTTTCTAACGTCATATTGTAATATAACACATATGGATATCTCAGCCCATTATTGTTGCGTGGTGGGTATCAAAATATTGAAAGATTATACTAAATTGTTTGTTTATAGTTTTGTCTCGTTACAATTATGTTCTAAAACACACACACACACACACACGGAGACGCAAACATAAAGAATGTGCATTGACTATTTAGGTGTAATCATGGAGAAATCAACACTTATGGTGATGAAAAAAACACATTGAAATTAGTTATGTGTGTGTTTTCAAAATAGATAAAGTGAGTCCATACATGCATATAATACGTTGCATAAAGATCTTGATACTACTATTGTTACAATATCAACAGAATATGAGTCATTCTTTAATAGTAACTTTTGAAATTACTTAAGTACAGATTTCAGTTGTTTCTAGATGTTGATAATCAAGTTTGTTTAAGTTACATGATAAGGTGTTCTGTTTTTTGTTGTTGTGATTTCCTTTAATACCTAATTGTAATTTAAGACATTATACTTGCGTAGTATAAATTAACTTGAGTTTTACATTACAATTTACATTTGTCTAGAGAGAAAGAAAAAAAAACACATTTTTGTTAAAACATTTGATGAAAAGTAATTTTGATTAGAATATTGTTTCGATAGTGTAGTAATAAGACGACGAAGATAATCTTCGTCTTCTTATTACTGATACTGCCCAGGTGCCCAAACTGAAGCAGGTGATTTTCTTAATCAGCCACAACCGGAGCCTTTGATCTAAAGGTCTGATCCCTAAGGCAGTAGCGCATCGTAAGGAGATGCAGTCTCATAGTAGCCGGTGACCAACGATTAATTCATACGCCATTTGTTCCTTCAGGATACGGGAGCCCATGTTCACCATTGGTTTGGAATCAGGATTTTCCAACTCCCTTAGGTGGACTTTCCGTGTACACCAACCCGCTTAAAACGCCTTTCATTCGCTTTTCGTCCTCTCAATTTCGTAATTAACACCCCGGCTACGAGAAAACAGTGAGTAGGACTACCCTGGCAACAACATTCGGTTCATTGCGCCCTAATAGCGCAGTAGATTAGCGCATCAGTCTCATAATCTGAAAAGTTATAATACAATAAATTTGAAGGTTGTATTCACCACAGATTAATTTCATCTGGATTATCACTGAAACATATGAACTTCATCTGTAGTGATATTATGAACGTACATTGCTAGGACGGAACAACTATCAGTTGATCTTTAGTTTTCAATAATATCTTCATTGACATTACTCTTTATCGAATGCAACTTAATATTAATAGTAATATCGGTATCTTTTGAAATTTTGACCATGTTTGGCAAAATCTTTTTTTTCTATATATTTTGTATTCTGATAGTTAGCATGTATCAACGAATAACTAAAAGTCAAAAGTAGTCCTATTGCACTAACTGTCGTAGGGAGGGTTTTCAAAACAATCATTCATAGAACGTTATGCATTTAGTGATGAAATGATACTCTTTTTAATATATATATATATATATATATATATATATATATATATATATCAGTTTATAAAGTTCAATAGTCTTATCTTTGAATGACGATTAGTTTTGCTGTCACAAATGTAAATAGTTTCTATCAGAAATAAATAGTTTTTACCTTTTCTCCACAAAGGCCATGCTGTCAAAATTGTGTATATACGAAAAATTGTTGTTACCACCTTTTTAAGTGAATCGTACCTAACTATGTGCTCTGGTGTTGTTTAAATATTGATTTAATTATTAAGTAAACATGTAGAATGTGTACTTTTAATTGTCATGTGAAACTGATGAACAAACAAACAAACCCATGAACTAAGTTCATGAAAGTAGAAGCGAGATCGTCCTGATGACATATCGATAAATTAACATTAATCAAAGTCATTTTAGAAATACTATATACATATTACCAATGTTAACACTTGTAATATAATTCTTATTTGCATTGATTAACTGCTGAATATTGGAGTATGTTTAGTTCATAGCGTTAATTAGATTCTGTCGACCAAGTTGCACAGACTAGACAAACTACTCAG